AGCTATTAGCCGCCCTTTAGTGGTATATTTTCGTATGGTTGTATTCTTGTTTATTTTGGTCTCATTTGATAGAATGGAAGATACATTACAGAAATATATATGATTTTTATTGGTTTCACAAAGATAAGTACCTTGAAATTGAGTTCAAAGTAACAGAAATGTTTGATTTTTGCCGATCTTCAAGAGGAAACAAATGACGTCACTGTCTAATGTGTGTCCAACTGACCACTATTATACAGTCATGAATGGGATGACATTTATACAATTATTACAATAATGCAGTAGTCTGCATAACAGTAAATTGTCTATTTTTTGTGTGAATAAAAATTTCAAATGGTAAGCAAGGGTTATTATAAGAATACGTGCGTACTAATTAATAATAATAATATGTAATCATAATAATACATAATAATAATATAATAATAATAATAATATAATATGTACAGTGGTACGCCGAGTTTCATACAACTCTCTACTCGAACAGCTATGTAAGTGTATTATTGTAAGTGCTTTTGTAAGTGTATTTTTGGGGGTCTGAAATGGCCTAATGTAATTTACATTATTCCTCATGGGAACAAATTAATTCTGTAACGGCACTCAAACAGCCTTCTGGAACAAATTATGGCCGAAACTTGGGGTACCACTGTATAATACTATAATAATACGAATACTACTGTAATATTATAATATGTACATACTATGTATAATTTGGCATACGCCGACGTGCCCAGCATCTCTTCTGCATCTCCAAGGTAAATGCTGTATTACATAATTTCTTTACATTATTATAGTAGAGGGCAACGAGTGACTAGCTCCCTTAAGGTTTACTATACAAATACAGTGGAACCTCAAATATCGAACTTTCTTCAGTCCAGAAGGCTGTTCGAGTGCCTTTACCGAATGAATTTATTCCCATCAGGAATAATGTAAATTAGATTAGTCCATTTCAGACCCTCAAAAATACACTTATAAAAGCACTTACAAAAATACACTTACATAATTGGTTGTGTTGGGAGCAGTTCGATTTTTGAGGTTCCACTGTAGTAGGAGTCTAAGAAAGAAGATAGATGCGCTAAGATTACTTGCAAGTGTAGGTAATATAGATATTATTGGTATAACAAGAGACCTGGTTCAACCTGAAAGATAGAGAAATGCCTTCTGAATGCAACATACAGAGTTATAAACTATTTCACACTGATAGGGTCAACAGGAAGGGTGGTGGAGTGGCAATGTATGTCACAGAAACTTTAAATTGTCTTAGACATGATATAAGATTAGAAACATCGAACACAGAATCTGTTTGGCTACAGTTTCTCGAGGGACGTGACAAATTCATAAGGCATCTAGATATGAAAATGTTGTGATAATGGGAGATTTTAACTTTAGACAAATTGACTGGAACAATATGACAGGAAATCTTGAGTCTAGAGACTTTCTTGATACAGTTCAGGATTGCTTTTTAGAACAGATTGTGACAGAACCAACTTGAGGAAACAATCTTCTTGACCTGGTTCTTGCCAACAAAGATTCACTAATTAATAATCTTGAGGTTAATGATGAGCTTGGGGAAAGTGATCACAAATCACTTAGTTTCAATATATCATGGAATTACCCAGATAACTGCAATCAAATTTCTGTCCCAGATTTTTGCTTGGCTGACTTCATGGGACTGAAAAATTACCTGGGTGGGCTAAATTGGGATGTCCTGACTATGGGTCAGGTAGGTGATCTTGGTTGCCAATATGACGTTTTTCAAAGCATAGTTCTAGCTGCCAAGACAACTTTTGTTCTGAGTAGGGAAATTAGATCTAACAAAAATGACCCCAAATGGATGAACAATAGATTAAAACATCTCATTGGTCAAAAGAGAGGCATATATAGGTGTATCAAAAGAGGGGATGGGCAGTTAAGAAATCAATATAATAAATTAAAGAGAGAGATAAAGAAAGGAATAAGAAAAGCAAAAAGGGATTATGAGGCTAAGGTTGCAAGGGATTCAAAGACTAACCCAAAAGGGTTCTTTCAGGTATACAGAAGTAAAATTAGGGACAAGATTGGCCCACTTAAGAGTAACTCTGGTCAGATCACTGACAGTGATAGGGATACGTGTGAAATTCTCAATACATACTTCCTCTCAGTTTTCACCCAGGAAAATACTAGCAATATTCCTGAAATAATAGATTATGTAGAACAGGATGATAATAAACTATGTACGATTGCGGTAACTAGTGACATGGTCCTCAGACAAATAGAGAAACTAAAACCTAACAAATCCCCAGGTCCTGTTGAACTGTTTGCAAGGGTGTTAAAGGAATGTAAAGAGGAACTTAGCATACCTTTGACATCCCAATTTAACATATCACTACAAACTGGCATAGTGCCTGATAAGTGGAAAATAGCAAATGTAATACCTATTTACAAGGCAGGTGACAGGTCCTTGGCTTCGAACTATAGACCAATAAGCCTTACCTCCATAGTGGGAAAATTTATGGAATCAATAATAGCCGAAGCAATTTGCAGCCATCTTGATAGGTACAGATTGATTAATGAATCTCAACACAGTTTTACAAAGGGGCGTTCCTGTCTTACGAATTTACTAACTTTTTTCACTAAGGTGTTTGAGGAGGTAGATCATGGTAATGAATATGATATTGTGTATATGGACTTCAGTAAGGCTTTTGATAGAGTTCCACACCAGAGGTTACTGAGGAAACTTAAGGCACACGGAATAGAAGGAGAAATTTTTTCCTGGGTAGAGGCATGGCTGACAAATAGGCAGCAGAGAGTTTGCATAAATGGGGAGAAATCAGAATGGGGGCACGTCACAAGCGGTGTTCCTCAGGGGTCAGTGTTGGGTCTGTTGTTGTTCACATTTTACATAAACGAGATAGATGAGGGAATAAATAGCGACATAAGCAAATTTGCTGATGATACCAAAATAGGCAGTCCAATTCATTCTAATGAGGACACCAGAGCACTCCAGGATGATTCGAACAGACTGATGCAATGGTCGGAGAACTGACAGATGCAGTTTAATATTGACAAATGCAAAGTTTTAAATGTTGGACAGGTAAATAACCATGCCACATATAAACTAAATAATGTAGATCTTAATACTACTGATTGCGAAAAGGATTTAGGAGTTCTGGTTAGCAGTAATCTAAAACCAAGACAACAGTGCATTAGTGTTCGCAATAAAGCTAACAGAATTCTTGGCTTCATATCTAGAAGTATAAATAATAGAAGTCCTCAGGTTGTTCTTCAACTCTATATATCCTTGGTTAGGCCTCATTTAGACTACGCTGCTCAGTTCTGGTCACCGTATTACAGAATGGATATAAATGCTCTCGAAAATGTACAGAGGACGACGACAAAGATGATCCCATGTATCAGAAATCTTCCCTATGAGGATAGACTGAGGGCCCTGAATCTGCACTCTCTCGAAAGGCGTAGAATTAGGTGGGATATGATCAAGGTGTATAAATGGAAAACAGGAATAAATAAAGGGGATGTAAATAGCGTGCTGAAAATTTCCAGCCAAGACAGGACTCGCAGCAATGGTTTCAAGTTGGAAAAATTCAGATTCAGGAAGGATATAGGAAAGCACTGGTTTGGTAATAGAGTTGTGGATGAGTGGAACAAACTCCCGAGTACAGTTATTAAGGCTAAAACGTTGTGTAGTTTTAAAAATAGGTTAGATAAATACATGAGTGGGTGTGAGTTGGACCTGACTAGCTTGTGCTGCTGGATCTGGTGCTGTGCTCCTTCCTTGAGTGGATGTGACCAGACTGGGTGGGTCATTGGGCTAATCCCTACTAACCCTGCTCTGCATGGGTCAGTAGGTCTATTGCAGTGTTCCTTCTTTCTTATGTTCTTATTATTATTGTTTTCCTTATGAAAATATGTACATAGTGATCTAATGGAGTTTGCCTTACAAACACTCCATTTTCTGTTATAATAAAAGCATGGGAAGGTATGTAGGAATGGCCACAGTGGTGGCCCTATATGCCCCACCAACAACAAAGGCCGTTATGTTGCCTCCACTAACACTACTCACATACATAATATTTCATTCATTCTAGTGTATATATCATGTTTCTATGTTATTAATATTGTTTATGTCATATTAGATGAATTGTGTTAGAAAAATAAGCTGTAGAGTTGACATTAGCGAAATCATTGAAGTATTTTGTCGTGCCTGGAATTCCACAGGAATGGATTAATTCCATTTCAATTAATTTATATGAGGAAAACTGACTCTGCAAGCGAGCAAATCCAGATGCGAGCAAGGTCACGGAACAGATTAAACTCGTGAGTAGAGATTACACTGTATATCTTACCCCACTCTATAGGTCTCAGCAGAACACCCTATCACGTGTCACATTTCACTGAATATAACTGACTTTCAATTAAGGTTTATGTTACATATATGTGTGGTTGTGTGCTCAATATCTAGGGAATGCTTTACCTCTTCACAATATTTCACCTCTAAACACTGGAGCCTTTATAATAATGATTTTCAGGTTGCTGAAAGGAACTATGGCATAAGCTTTATCATCTAAATCCTTCAAAATTCTTTTGAAGGATCTTTATCCAAAGAATTGGAGCATCCCTCCCTCTTCCTGGATTAATTAAACTTTATAACCTCCCATTTCCCCAGGTGCTGTATGGCTCATAAGGTTTCCTCATGAATACAAATATTTTTCATTGCCATATTGGCCATTTCCCACCAAGGAAGGGAGACCCAAAGAAAGAAACACATTCACTATAATTCATTCAACTGTTATTTTGCCAGAAGTGTGCAGAAAATACCATTCCAATGACTCTCAAAACCTGTCCTTCATAGTGCTGGCACCTCCAGAACTCTGAGCCTGGCTAACCAGTTTTTCCCTGAGTTTTTTTTATTAGCATTGCCTTGCTCACACTTTTAAAGCATGCCATGTTTTTTTATTTTTGTTTTTTTGCAAGTACCTAGAAAACAGACATTTTTTGTAAATTACCTTAGTCTTGTCTTTCCGTTCCTTTTCTCTCTTATCCATTTCTTCTTTCTGTACTCTTGCTAATTCATCATAATAAGATTCCTTACCCCAGCAGTGTGGATCAAACATATCCTGAAACAATGTTAAATATGAATAATAGTTAAAAGAGCTCTGAAACAAAGGAAATGCTGAATGCTACTTGCCTATAGTATTTATAAAAATCTTGAATAATTTCAAAGCAAGTTCAAAATGAAAGTTGGACATTAAAAAAGAATTGTATTAATAAGCAATTATCTTTGTCTATTATTTTGGTCCACCTATAAATATTGTACCAAGCCAGTAAGCCAAAAATCAACATAGAACAAGTCTGTTATCTCACCAGTGGATAGTTGGTCCCCATCTCATCAAGCTGCAAGAGGTCAATCAGTTTTTCATAAATGCCAGGATTTCGAAATTCCTTGTTATTCTGAATCATGGCATTGTAGTCCTTGTTTCCTCGACGCACCTCATTCAAGCACCTAACCACTTTATCCTGGTCAACATAAAAATAAAATGTAAAAAGATAAAATCTATACCAAAGAAATATTCTTTACCATCTGCATGTGTGCAAATTTATATTTCAAGAAAACTCATGGTTTTCAGTAAATTACCCTTCAAAAATCTAAATACTATACAGTTAAACTTGATACATCTGAATGAATCATGGTCAAGACATTAGCAGATATGTCTTTTTCAATTTTTATTCTTGAGGGCTCATTTTAAAACTACTGCTATCCATGTAATATATATGTCGTGCCATATAGGTAAAACTGGTCAAGTAGCAAGAACTCGTTTAAAATTAAGTCCTTTCTAAGATTTTCTCTTGTACGTTTAAAGATATATTTTTTTTCATTTATGTTTATGTAAAAATTAATAATTTTGTACCAAAAGAACCTTAGAAAACATACCTAACCTTACTATAACAAGTGCAGTTTGATTTAGCCTAATCCAACTAAATATAATTTAGATAAGTTTACAATAATTTAATAATAAACACAATGAAATGTATTTTTTTTGGTCAGATTCAGAATGATTTTTGCAAAATTATTGCATATACAAATTTTCGCTTGCCTTATTCGGCAAGAAGAGCATTGCTATTTAAGCCAAAATTGCAAGTTTTACCTATTAGGCACAAATATTTAGTGAAGGGATTCAGGGAAACCGGTTATTATAGATTTTGCCAGACTTGAGTCCTGGAAATGGGAAGTACAATGCCTGCACTTTAAAGGCAGGGTCTGGGATACTGACAGTTTGGAGGGACTTCTAAACTGTCGTATCTGAGTGCCTCTGCAAAGACAGTGATTATGTATGAGTGAGGTGAAAGTGTTGAATGATGATGAAAGTATTTTCTTTTTTGGGGATTTTCTTTCTTTTTGAGCTACCCTGCCTTGGTGGGAGACAGCCAACTTGTTAGAAAAATACATAAATACATACATAAATACAGTGGACCCTCAACCAGCGATATTAATCCGTTCCTGAGAGCTCATCGTTAATCGAAATAATCGTCAGTCAAGTTAATCTTCCCCATAAGAAATAATGGAAATCAAATTAATCTGTGCAAGACACCCCAAAGTATTGAAAAAAAAAAATTTACCACATGAAATATTAATTTTAATACACACAAACTGAAGAAGACATGCACAGTTACATGACACTTACCTTTATTGAAGATCTGGTGATGATTGATGGGATGGAAGGAGGGGAGACCGTTGATCTTCTTAGTGTTTAGAAGGGGAATCCCCTTCCATTAGCACTTGAGGTAGCAAGTCTTTTTCTGGGGTTACTTCCCTTGTTCTTTTAATGCCACTAGGACCAGCTTCAGAGTCACTGGACTTCTGTTGCCCAACATATCTGTCCATAGATACCTGTACCTCTCGTTCCTTTATGACTTTCCTAAAGTGGTTCACAACATTGTCAGTGTACAGGTTGCCAACATGGCTTGCAGTAGCTGTGTCAGGGTGATTTTCATCAAAAAAGATTTGCACTTCAAGCCACTTTGCACACATTTCCTTAATCTTAGAAGTAGGCAACTTCTTCAATTTCTCTATCCCTCCTCCGAAGCAATTTCCTCAGGTCTGCCCTCTTGCTGTTCAAGATGATCTAGCAGCTCATCAGTGGTTAGTTCTTCATTGTCCTCCTCCACTAGCTCTTCCACATCCTCCCCACTAACCTCCAACCCAAGGATTTCCCCAATGCCACAATGGATTCCTCAACTGGCATAGGATTCTCAGGGTTAGCCTCAAACCCTTCACAATCCCTTTTGTCTACACCTTCTGGCCACAGTTTTTTCCAAGTAGAGTTCAAGGTCCTCTTAGTCACTTCCTCCCAAGCCTTACCTATAATGTTTACACAATTGAGGATGGTAAAATGATCTTTCCAAAACTCTCTTAGAGTCAGTTGAGTTTCTGAGGTCACTACAAAGCACTTTTGAAACATAGCTTTTGTGTAGATTTTTTTGAAGTTAGAAATGACCTGCTGGTCCATGGGCTGCAGGAGAGGAGTGGTATTAGGAGGCAAAAACTTCACCTTAATGAAGCTCATGTCCCTAGAAAGTCGCTCTGCCAAGTCTGAAGGATGACCAGGAGCATTGTCTAATACCAGGAGGCACTTAAGGTCTAATTTCTTTTCAATTAGGTAATTTTTCACATTGGGGCAAATGCATGGTGTAACCAGTCATAGAAAAAGTCCCTAGTGACCCATGCCTTATTGTTTGCCCTCCACAGCACACACAAATTAGCCTTGACGACACTGTTTTTCCTGAACACTCTGGGAGTTTCAGAGTGATACACCAATAAAGGCTTCACTTTGCAATCACCACTAGCATTGGCACACATCAACAGAGTAAGCCTGTCTTTCATAGGCTTATGTCCTGGGAGTGCCTTTTCCTCCTGAGTAATGTACGTCCTGCTTGGCATTTTCTTCCAAAACAGGCCTGTTTCGTCACAATTAAACACTTGTTCAGGTTTCAGTCCTTCACTGTCTATGTACTCCTTGAATTCCTGCACATATTTTTCAGCTGCTTAGTGGTCTGAACTGGCAGCCTATGAATGCCACTACACTTCTTAAATCTCTCAAACCAACCTTTGCTGGCCTTAAATTTACTCACATCACTAGTTGCTGGCATTTTTTTAATTAAATCGTCATGCAACTTCCTAGCCTTTTCACATATGATCGCTTGAGAGATGCTATCTCCTGCTATCTGTTTCTCGTTTATCCACACCAATAAGAGTCTCTCAACATCTTCTACCGCTTGCGATCTCAGTTTCGAAAACATAGTTGCCCCTTTGGCAAGAACAGCTTCCTTGATTGCCGTTTTCTTGCCCACAACAGTAGCGATGGTTGATTGGGGTTTATTATACAACCTGACCAGCTCAGAGACACGCACTCCACTTTCATACTTAGCAATGATCTCTTTCTTCATCTCCATAGTAATTCTCACCCTTTTTGCTGTAGGGTTGGCACTAGAAGCTTTCTTGGGGCCCATGGTGACTTATTTTGCAGGTGCAATCACTACAAAGGCTGTGATAATATGAAATGTTCCAGTTGTATGTTTGGAAGTGACCGTGGTGGCTGGCTTGTAAACACTGGCACCCACGGGACAAGTGAGGCGTGCTCAGGCCAAAGTGGACGCGTCTCGTACAGAACGAATAGTGCTGGTCGGGTTTTTAAGCGATAATAGAGGCAAAATTTTTGCGTTAAAATGTATCGCTAGTCAGATTTATCATTAATCGATGCCATCGCTGGTTGAGGGTCCACTGTATACATTTTTTTTTTTTAACAAGTCAGCCGTCTCCCACCAAGGCAGGGTGACCCAAAAAAGAAAGAAAATCCCCAAGAAGAAAATGCTTTCATCATCATTCAACACTTTCACCTCACTCACACATAATCACTGTTTTTGCAGAGGTGCCCAGAACACAACAGTTTAGAAGTATATATGTATAAAGATACATAACATATCCCTCCAAACTGCTAATATCCCGAACACCTCCTTTAGAGTGCAGGCATTGTACTTCCCATTTCCAGGACTCAAGTCCGGCTATATAAAAATAACCAGTTTCCCTGAATCCCTTCACTAAATATTACCCTGCTCACACTCCAACAGATCATCAGGTCCCAAATACCATTCATCTCCATTCACTCCTATTGAACATGCTCATGCACGCCTGCTGGAAGTCCAACCCCCTCGCCCACAAAACCTCCCTTACCCCTTCCTTCCAACCTTTTCAAGGACTACCCCTTCCTTCCAACCTTTTCAAGGACTACCCCTTCCTTCCAACCTTTTCGAGGACGACCCCTACCCCGCCTTCCTTTTGCTACAGATTTATACGCTCTCCATGTGATTCTACTTTGATCCATTCTCTCTAAATGACCAAACCACCTCAACAACCCCACTTCAGCTCTCTGACAAAATACTTTTATTAACTCCACACCTTCTCCTAATTTCCACACACTGAATTTTCTGCATAATATTTACACCACACATTGCCCTTAGACAAGACATCTCCACTGCCTCCAACCGCCTCCTCGCTGCTGCATTCACAACCCAAGCCTCACACCCATATAAGAGTGTTGGTACTACAATACTTTCATACATTCCCTTCTTTGCCTCCATAGATAACGTTTCTTGTCTCCACATATACCTCAACGCAGAAATCACCTTTTTTCCCTCATCAATTCTATGATTAACCTCATCCTTCATAAATCCATCCGCCGACATGTCAACTCCCAAGTATCTGAAAACAATCACTTCTTCCATACTCCGCCTCCCCAATTTGATATCCAATTTTTCTTTATCTAAATCATTTGATACCCTCATCACCTTACTCTTTTCTACATTCACTTTAAACTTTCTACCTTTACACACACTCCCAAACTAACCTTTGCAATTTTTCTTTAGAATCTCCCATAAGCACAGTATCATCAGCAAAAAGTAACTGTGTTATTTCCCATTTTTAATCTGATTCCCCATAATTTAATCCCACCCCTCTCCCGAACACCCTAGCATTTACTTCTTTTACATCCCCATCTATAAATATATTAAACAACCATGGTGACATTACAAATCCCTGTCTAAGACCTACTTTTACCGGGAAGTAGTCTCCCTCTCTTCCACACACCCTAACTTGAGCCCCACTATCCTCATAAAAACTCTTTACAGCATTTAATAACTTATCACCTATTCCATATACTTGCAACATCTGCCACATTGCTCCCCTATTCACTCTATCATATGCCTTTTCTAAATCCATAAATGCAATAAAAACTTCCCTACCTTTATCTAAATACTGTTCATATTTTTATATATATATATATATATATATATAATATATATATATATATATATATATATACACACCTACCATCTGACTTACGACCTGCTCGACTTACGACCACTCGACTTACGACCGTGTTTTTCATGCCAAATTTCTGGGAAATAAACAACTATTTGTGTTGTACACAGTGCTTATCCTAAACCTTACAGTATAAAATACAGTACTAACAACATAAAAAGTAAAGTAAAACATGAAATACCAAAATAAAACAATAAAATAAAGCCCTTACAAAAATGTTTTGTTGATATTCAGTAGTAAAGTTCGACTTACGACCATTTCGACTTACGACTGGTTTCTCTGAACCGAACTCGGTCATAAGTCGGATGGTAGGTGTATATTTATTTATTTATTTATTTGCTTTTAACAAGTTGTCCATATCCCACTGAGGCAGGGTGACCCAAGAAGAAAGAAAACCCCCAAAAATAAAATACTTTTATCATCACTCAACACTTTCACCTCACTCATACATAAGCACTGTTTTTGCAGAGGTGCCCAGAACACAACAGTTTAGAAGGATATACGTATAAAGATACACAACAACTGCCAATATCCCAAACCCCTCCTTTAACCCCTGTCGCAACCCCAAATCCTGATGTGTCTCCTGGTGTTGCAAAAAAAAAAAAAAAAAAAAATCTTATGAAATGATAAAGAATCTTTTCCCAATTGTAATGACACCAAAAGAACGAAATTTAATGGAAAACTGACGGAATTACGTTCTCGCGAAGTTAGTGACCTCGGTGATATTTATGAATTGGCTATCTCGCCCATTTTGAGCCCTATTTTCGGCTAATTCGATTGTTCCAGTCGACCAAACTCATAGCTATTTGTTTAGAATTCCATTTTTTCTATCGATTGAGTACAAGAAACTGCCCATTTACTGATTTGAACTACTCAATAAGGTGGTCAGAAATTTGCAATTTGCCCAATTTCACGAAAATTAAAACATACGATAATTTCAAAATAGGGTCCAGAATGAACAATGCAGACATTCCTGGCTCTAAAAATAACATTTTCTTTGTTCATCAGTCATGTCACCAGGCCCCTCTGATATTACTCTTGCTTTCTATTTTGATTTTTTTTCAAACAAAAAATAGAAGATATTGCAGACTACTGCAATATTGTCATAATTGTATAAATAATGTCAACTCATTCATGACTGCATATTAGAATGGCTACTTGGACATTTATTGGAAAATGATATCATGTGTGTACTTTTGAACATCAGCAAAAAATCAAACAATTCCCCTACTTTGAGCTCCATTTCAAGGTTCTTTTCATAGTAAAACCAATCAAAATCACCTCTATTTCTATATGTTTTCCATTCTATCAAATGAGACCAAGAAAACAAGAATACAACCATAAATATTATAGGAAAATAGACCACAAAATCGGCATTTTAATTAAAAAAAACGGTTGGAGTTTTTTTTTCTCGTTATGCACTGCATGCTGCAGGATTTTATTTACATGGTGCACACTGACCACACAGACCCATTCTCTCACATGTGGGCCTACCAGCTTTCTCCTGCATGATTTGAAGCCACTAGAATTTATGTCCCTTCAATGTTCTTACTGTTTTGTGAATGGGCAGACAGTCATGTTGGCAAACATGATTGTGAGGTAAAAATAGGTAAAATTTTTTGCTTGAGGTGATATGCCACACACTACACCTACAACTTGTGCTGTCATCAAGGAAAGAAATCTTTTTAAGAACTGCCTGTATTATAAAGAATATGAGAAATTCACATAAAGTTACCAGAGAATCAATGAACAAAATATAATGTACATATTTTGAAGATGGAACACATTCCATTCATAATTGACACACATTAGTAGAGACTGACTTATTAAGCAAACTTTAACACGAGCCAAATCTTCATACTTTTCTAATAATGTGAGCACCCCTTAGCCAAGCAGCACTATACAATTCATATGGGTTTAGAGCCTGTTTTTGTGGCTGAATGAGGGGCTAGGACATCCAATAGGCTTGTGTGAGCATTAGCTAGAAGTGGAGGCAAGTGGTTTTTATGATTTAACATGATGTTGGAGTGTGAGCAAGGTAACAGTCATAAAGGGTGTCAGAGAAACTGGTTAGCCAGACTTGAGTCCTGGAGGTGGAAAGTAGTGCCTTTATTCTGAAAGGGGATAATGCTGCAATCTGGAGGGTCATCTAAACTGTGATGTCAACATGCTTCTGGGAAAACAGTGATTGAATGAATTATGGTGAAAGTTTTTCTTTTTTTTTCAGGTCTTTCTACCTCAGTGGGAGTTGGCTGGTGTGCAGGAAAAAAAAAATTATAATTGGCAGGGACAACGCAGAGATGTCCAGTTTACCTGTAAATGTTGTGGACACTTTCCAGGTGGTGGTGCAGGCAGCTTAATGCCATGGGATTTCACCTTTGCTTTGTCGTCTTCACCTTCATCTGTGCCAGTGTCCATCGGCTCAGAGTTCAATGCTGAAAAAAGATAAGCATATTTTTTATATTTATTGGGAAGCAATAAAACTATTTCATATAACACCTAGGAAATAGGGGTAATCAGATCTGATTCAAGAAAGGAAGGGTAGCTTCAGCTCCAAGAAGCCTTCACAAACTTTTAGACACCACCCTTTCCAACTTGAATTTGAATGCTATAAAATTCAGTGTCATTGTTTTGAAAGTTTTGTTGTTCATGAGATTTAGTATGTATTACTTTTTCTTTAAAATAATTTAATTTAAAAAAGTTGTGCTTTTGTTTTTATTAACACATCGGCCATTTCCCACCAAGGCAGGGTGGGCCGAAAAAGAAAAATTTTCATCATCATCATTCACTCCATCACCATCTTGCCAGAGGCATGCTTACACTACATTTATAAAACTGCAACATTAACACCCCTCTTTCAGAGTTCCGGCACTGTACTTCCCATCTCCAGGAATCAAGTCCGGCCTGCCGGTTTTTCCCTGTTGTGTATGCACAGCCTCTCCTCACTTAGCGACGTACTCGTTTACTGACGACTCGGACTTACGACGGGCTCTTTGACCAGTATGCATACCTAAATAATGTATATTAGAGCTGTCTTCTATTCTGTTTATTACAATATATACAGTACGCTACTGTATAAACATTTAAAAATACACCAGAAATGTTATAAATGGTGCAAAGGTGACAATAAAACAATATCAAAGATGGTTAACACAAACCAAGTACCATTATAGTATGCTCCTCACTTAGTGATGAACTCATTTACCGACGTGTTCTTAGGAACTGAACCCCATCGTTAAGTGAGGAGAGGCTGTATTTAATTTTAATTATCGTGGCACATGGTTTGGGTTGTGCATATATCCTGGCTGGAACTGCCTAATCTCTGACAAATTATGCCGGCAAGGAATTCTCACTAAAAAAATCTAAAGGTTCTTACATCCAAAAACTGCAAACATCCATACATAACTTAACTGCTATTACAAATACAGTCAAACTCCATAATAATGGGTGTTAACCCTTTGATTGTTTTGGTCGTATACGTATGTCTTACGAGCCAATGTGTTTGACGTATATATACTCAAATATTCTACCGGCTTCAAGTCAAGCAGGAGAAAGCTGGTAGGCCCACATGTGAGAGAATGGGTCTGTGTGGTCAGTGTGCACAGTATAAAAAAAAATCCTGCAGCATGCAGTGTCCAATTAAAAAAAAAAAAAAACTGACTGTTTTTGGATTAAAACGCCAACTTTGAGGTGTATTTTTGTATAGTATTTATGGTTGTATTCTTGTTTTCTTGGTCTCATTTGATAGAATGGAAAACACATTATAGAATAGAAGTGATTTTGATTGGTTTTACTATGAAAAGGATCTTGAAATGGAGCTCAAAGTGGCAGAAATGTTCGATTTTTGCTGATGTTCGAGAGAAAAGCAAATGACGTCATTGTCCAATAAATGTCCAACTAGCCATTCTAATATGCAGTCACAAATGGGTTGACATTATTTATACAATTACAATATTGCAGTAGTCTGCATAACAGTATATCTTCTGTTTTTTGTGTGAATAAAAATTCAAAATAGAAAGCAAGAGAATTATAACAGGGGCCTGGAGACGTGACTGATGAACAGAGTAAATGCTATTTTAGTGCCAGGAATGTCTGCATTGTTCATTCTGGACCCTATTTTGAAAGTGACATTTTTTAATTTGCATAAAATTGGCCAAATTGCCAATTTTTGACCACTTTATTGGGTAGTTGAAATCAGTAAATGGGTGGTTTCTTGTACTCAATCGATAAAACAAATGGAGTTCTAAAGAAATAGCTATGAGTTTGGTGGACTGGAACAATGGAATTGACCGAAAATAGGGCTCAAAGTGGGCGAAATCACCGATGCGTAAACATCACCAAGGTCGCTAACTCCACGAGAGCGTAATTCCCTAAGTAATGACACTTTTGGTGTCATTACTATCAGGAAGAGATTCTCTATCATTTCATAAGAATTTTTTTTTTCAAATATTTTGCGACACCAGGAGACACCTCAGGATTTGGGGTTGCAACAGTCAAAGGGTTAAAGTAGATTACTGGAGATTATGTTAATCGTCAAGCTGCAAATAATAGGAAATTTTACTTATCTGAATTATTTAACCATTTCTTATCCATACCTCATACATAATGCTCTAATCTCCTAAATACAGCCTCTCCTCACTTAACGATGAAGTTGCGTTCCTAAGACCACATCAGTAAACAAATTCATTGCTAAGTGAGGAGCATACTATAATGGTAGTGGGTTTGTGTCAACCATCTTTGATATTGTTTTAATGTCACCTTTGCACTATTTATAACATTTTTAGTATATTTTTAAATGTTTATACAGTAGTGTACTGTATATTGTAATAAACAGAATAGAGGAAATCAGCTCTAATATACATTATTAATATACATTATTTAGGTATGCATACTGATCAGATAGCCCATTGTAAGTCCAAGTCGTCGGTAAATGAGTACGTCGCTAAGTGAGGAGAGGCTGTACATGTACTGACATTCCTAAGAACAAACATATTTTGAATGAAATGCTATGGTTATTTTTCACTTTAGGGATTGTGTGCCAAGCAAAAAAAATGATGGGAACCAAGAAAAAATGTGAATAATCAAAGTTATGTGACACAGCCTTCAGTAAAAATGGTACATAATCGAATCGCATAGATTATGAAACACATGAATTCCAGTCTTTGATCGCAATGCATTAGCAATTTAAACTATAACTCACGAAATTGTACTAACAAGATTGAAAACATATCATGGAAAGGATGGGGTTGTAAATCCATGCCATGGGTTCAAATCCTACCCATTCCATGGCTTTTTAAGCTATAATTTGTATCTTTTCCATCTAAAGTCTAGATTCAACCCTAGATCTTTTGGTACAAAACTGAACACAGCTAAATAAAGGAACAATTGCCATAGAAGTTTTAAGCAATGATTAAATTTGTAATTTTCTGAAATGTTAGCGGATATTTTATTGTTGACAGTTAACAGAAAATGCAGAGGAGCATAGTAGGCTTTTATGGTGATAATATTTTACTCTACAAAGAGCTTTATCAAATCTCTATGAAATATTGTCACAATAAGAACTTGCTTTGCACCTGACTTTTCTGAAATATTAGTTTCATCCTAATGCACCTTGATACACTTACTTTCATCAGGTTCATCCTCTTCTCTCTCTCTTTCAATGTCTTCTCCTTCATCTTCATCCTCTTCATTAGCATAGGAAACTAATCTATTAACCTGTTGTGAAAATCAGAAAACAGTAAATATTACTGCAAACATGACCAAATATTTAAGTAAAAAATTACTATAGACTACAAACTACTTCAACAGACTGCAACCTATTTTATCGAATCTTTAGAGAAGTGATGTTCACTAATTCATCTAAATATTATAATCAATATCCCTTTTGTATGCAATATTAAAATAATTATTGAAAATGAAAATTTGAATGCCCTTCATAAAAAACAAAACTATTCAACTATGTACAATACAGTAAAGGGAAAGAAATTATATAGTGATTTCAAAAAAACCAAAAGTTTTTTTAAGGTATCCCCTGTCTCTCACCCCAGTATCCCTTTCTAAACATTTTTTTTTTAAATTTTTAAAAAGCAAATAAATTTCCTTTCTTTTAGGGAACAAAAGGGTTTCTACAAAGGGGTTGGTTTCAAAATTCCTTCATATTTTTATACATTGGGCACAAAAAAGTTTTCTCAAAAGCAAAATTTTTTTTCACAAAATTTAAATAGGTTTATTTTTACAGTAGAATACCCTCCATTGAATCCCCCCCCTGTCCTGTATTATTTAATTTTTAAAACAGAAAAATGACTCAAAACTAAAAGCCCAAAAAAAGAATTTTCTTTTGGGGAAAAAATTGCTACCCCCCCCTGTACTTTTCCTTCCTTAGCCCCATACCCCATAAACTCCCCCCATGATCACACCCCCCCTTTTTGGGCCTTTCCAAACCCCACCCTTTTTTTTCCCTTTTTCCCCGTTTAAACAAACCCAAGACCTTGCAATTTTTAACTAAACCCAAGTCAGAAGTGAAATTTGAATGTGTAATGTTTTTGGGCCTGTACTGGAAAAAATTTTAAAACTCCTCTAAAAAGAAATATAAACCACTTAAATACTCCCTAATACTTTCTCCTTTGGCCCCGGGCAATTTTCCCAAAAATTTTCAAATTTTTTTTTAAAGTTTTTTTCAATTTTTATTAACTTTAACTCTGAAAATTTATACTTATGGGGGTCCCCTGTACCTGAATCAATAAATTTAAAGGGTTTATTCTTTTAAAAGGGAAATTTCAAGGCGGGGTTTAAAAGATTTTGGTTTTTGTGTGGTTTTACATGTAATAAAATCCTAATTCCCGGGGCCCCTTTGGGACACCTACCCATGGTTTGGGCCCATTTCGGGAAAAACTTAGTTTAATTTTTAAAAACCAAAAAAATTACAAATTAGGAAGTAAGTTGACTAAATACTAAGTGACTAAATACTAGTTTGTGAGTTTGCAATGTGAAGCTTTGTTTTGGGGACAATACATATTTTTTATTTTAATATCACACCCAAAATTAGACTAGTTTTTGGAATCATTAAATTTTTAAAATTAAGATTTGTAAATTTTTGTGCTTAAAAGTCAAAAGGGGGTGAGTGAGTGGGAAGTTGAACCACCAGGGATTTTTTTGTAGTTAGTTGACGGGGTGTAAACAGGGGAAAAAAAAGTTTTCTAATGGTAAATTTTTTAAGGTGATGAAAGTGTCTGCAGTTCTAGAGTTTTTCAGGTAGGGTTTTTCCAGATTTTTTGGGGCCCTTTTACAAAACATTGAATTTTTTTTTTTTTTTTTTTTTAACAAGTCGGGGGCCCTCTCCCACCGAGGCAGGGGGACCCCAAAAAAAAAAAAAAAAAAATCCCCAAAAAAAAATTTCTTTCATCATCTACAACACTTTCACCCCCACACCACACATTTTTCACTGCTTTTGCAGAGGTGCTTTAAAACAACATTTAGAGCATAAACTTTTAAAGAAACACAACATAACCCCCAAAAATGCCAATATTCCCCCAAAACCCCCCTTTTAAATGCAGGCATTGTACTTCCCCCCTTTCCAGGGCTCCAAGGGCGACTATATGAAAAATAAAACCCGGTTTCCCCCTTTCCCCCCTGAATCCCTTCACTAAAAAAAATTAAACCCCGCTCACACTCCAAAAAAATCGTCAGGTTCCCCCAAAATATCTTCGTCCCATTCACCTCCTATCTAACACGCCCCATGCATGCTGCTGGGAAATCCAAGCCCCTCACCCACAAAACCTCCTTTACCCCCTCTTTCCAACCCTTTCGAGGACGACCCCTACCCCTCTTTCCTTCCCCTATAGATTTATATGCTTTCCATGTCATTCTACTTTGATCCATTCTCTCTAAATGACCAAACCACCTCAACAACCCCTCTTCTGCCCTCTGACTAATGCTTTTATTAACTCCACACCTTCTCCTAATTTCCACACTCCGAATTTTCTGCATAATATTTACACCACACATTGCCCTTAGACAGGACATCTCCACTGCCTCCAACCGTCTCCTCGCTGCTGCATTTACCACCCACTGAATTTTTGTAAAGGTTTAATCGGACACGGCGAATGTCGTAGAGATGTTTGTGTCTGGTGTTATGCCTATGGGTCCTGTCACAACTATCAAGAAAGCGTTTTAGGTCAAGGTTAATATTGGAATTTAAGGTCCTGTAGATGTAGATTGCACAGTAGTAAGTGTGGATGTTCTGAACAGGGAATAAGTTTAGATCTATGAAGAGTGGGGGGGGGGGGGGTTGCATGCAGGTACACATTAAAATCACTAAGAGTGTCTAATTACACTTGAAGATGCCATATTAACAATAATGATAATAATAACACACAATAATAATCACTCTGAGGTGCATTAAATGTCGTATAAAACGTTAATACAGACACTTTGCTTAATCCATCTATGATATTTTTTCAAAATTATATAATAAACACGCTACGTAACATAAGCATGATAATATACCCACAGTAGAATAAATTAACATAAATATGAGATGTTTCTCCAGTCGGCTTGCCAGAGTAAACTAAAACCATATGCGTTCTGCTGGTTTGTTTACAAAACTCATGTCTGTCCATTCTCATGTACTCATTCTCTTTTTCTCTTGTTCATTCATTTACTCATCTCTCACCCTACATTAGGATTACAAATATTTTAAGGTTAGTAATGAGTGTATAGGTGGCCCTACACACTCATTACTAACCTTGGCACATTAAATGTCTTATTTTAGGTTAATATAGACATTTTCATTAATCCATCTCTGATATTTTCTTCAAAATTATATAAGAAACATGTTACATAGCATATAGCATATAAACATAAAATATAAACATGCTATGTTTATATACTATCGAGTGGTGAGTCGGGTGGAGGGTAAACATTACGTTTTCTCTGGTCAAGTGTTGGAGAAAACTGTGAATCTGGCATCTGGCTCAGTCACTGCTCTTAATACACATTTGTTTACAGTTCTCGGCATGAATTACCCATTACTTCTCCCTCTGTTTATGATGGTAGCTAAAGGTAATCGTTAGAAATAATTAAACTCAGTGAACATGGTATGTTGATGGTAATAATGTGGCTGTGTTCTGCAGTGTAGGTAGCCGGTAGGTGTAGCCCAGAGGGACTATATATGTGTACAGGTCCGCCATCACAAATCTGGCAATCAGTTATTCGGCACTAATTTTGGCTAGTATAATTTCAAATTTCCAGGGTCGCCACACCAACCTGCTGGTACTGTTTGGTGGCACTACTTGCTGCATAAGTCATTCCAATTTCTTTTTCTCCATTTATTGTTTTAACCTGCTTACTTTAGCCCTAGCCATGGTTCCAATGAATAAAAGAAATGCTTCTCATTATGTAAAGCACCTACACAGAACATTATCTATTAAAGATAAGGTGGCTGAAGCCACTGTCCATTGTCATGAACTCAGTCTCATGATGCAGGAGAATATGCTTTATTACGCTAATATCAACACTACAGCTTGTTTGCCTATCACAATTGACATAATAAACAATATAAATATGACATAATAAACAATATAAATAACATAAAACACGTTAAATACTCCAGAATAAATAATATTTGGCATAACACCGAGCAGTTCGATGGAGGTATGAAGAGGATACAGTGGACCCCGGTATTCGATGGCATCGGTATTCGATAAATCCGGTATTCGATGCATTTTAACGCAAAAATTTTGCCTCGGTATCCAATTGAAAACCCGGTATTAGATACGATTCATACGAGACGTGTCCACGTGTGACCTGAACTGCCCCTTGTGTGCCAGTGTTTACAAGCCAGCCAGTGTGCGCTCATCTAAGGATACATTCGGTACATTCCATATTATCCATATTATCACTGTTTTTGGTGCTTGTTTCTGCAAAATAAGTCACCATGGGCCCCAAGAAAGCTTCTAGTGCCAACCCTGTGGTAAAAAGGGTGTGAATTAGTATGGAAATTAAAAAAGATTTTGAAGGGTTTGGGGCTAACCCTGAGAAGCCTATGCCAGTTGTGGAATCCATTGTGCCTACTTCAAAAATTAAGGAAATGTGTGCACAGTGGGTTCAAGTGCAAACCTTTATGGATGAAAATCACCCTAACACAGCTATTGCAAGCCATGCTGGTGACTATTACAATGACAATGTTGTGGCCCATTTTAGACAAATCGTAAAGGAACGGGAGGTACAGAGCTCTATGGACAGATTTGTTGTGCGACAGAGGTCCAGTGACTCTCAAGCTGGTCCTAGTGGCATCAAAAGAAGAAGGGAAGTAACCCCGGAAAAGGACTTGCTACCTCAAGTCCTAATGGAAGGGGATTCCCCTTCTAAACACTAACACCATCCACACTCTCCCCTCCTCCCATCCCATCAATCATCACCAGATCTTCAATAAAGGTAAGTGTCATGTAACTGTGCATGTCTTCTTCAGTTTGTGTGTATTAAAATTAATATTTCATGTGGTAAAAATTTTTTTTTTTTTCATACTTTTGGGTTTCTTGCACGGATTAATTTGATTTCCATTATTTCTTATGGGGAAAATTGATTCGCTTTTCGATATTTTCGGCATTCGATGAGCCTGTGATACTCCAATACTGAAACTATGTATTGTGCCAAAACAAAAGCATTCACATTGCTAAACTCACAAACTAGTATTTAGTCACTTAGCCATAATACCA